CCCCTGCCCCGGTCCCTGCCTGCCCGCTGGCGCCGGCTCCGTGTCCGGCTCCGGTGCCCGAGCTGCTCTTCACCACGGCGCCGTTTCAGCAGGTGCCCCGTTCCGCAGACGCTCTGTAACCATCCATAAGTCAACCAGTTCTACCTTGGGGCGGGTGTTAATAAAAAGTTTATCTTTCGGGACCTTTCCAGACACACGGATTTTTATTCTGCTGTTAAAAGTCCTAGTTCAAGTTGTTGGAGGGAGATGTGGTGCATTACAGTGGCTAAATCACAGTCCTTCCCTTCCTTAACTCCAGATTCCCTGTGCCCTCCTCCGGACGCCATGCTATCTTCAGCATAACCCGTCTACTGCAATGTGCAGAATGCTCACAATCTCGTTTAAATTTTAATACGTACAGTAAAGGACTATTTCCTGAAATGACTTGGAGTAAATTATTCAGAAGGAGCAGCAAAAAAGTTGAACACGACGAAACTATAAATGTATGGGAAAGTGCTAAGAATGTGGAACAGCATTAAAAATGTAGGAGTGCAAGTTTCAGGACATCTTAGTGTTCTGTTTTATGTCTTTTCTAGCAACTGAGATTCCAAATATGCTTCTTAACTTTCCATTTGAACATCCTAGCAGTAGCTACTGCCTTTATAAAGAGATTTTTACTAAAACAGGCCTGATTGCCTTCATGTACCTGTGGCTTTAATGGAGAAAATGGTAGGGAAACGGAACAAAAACCCAACAGAAAATGCACCCACAAACAGGGATCACTGCAAGGTGCCATGGAATGCTTGGGCAGCACAACTGGGCTTATTTTCTGCACAATTAAACTAGATTTTGTTTTCTTGGTATTTTACTGAACCTGTCCTTCTGTGTAAGGTGTGTGTCAGTGAGCAACCTGTTGCTCTGCCAAGGGAGGCTTCCAGTGAATGCCCTGCTACTGTTTCCTGGGCAAAACCGACTCTGTTCTGTGAAAGGCAATTTAAACTGCGAAGTGGGGCTTCAGGTGATCTCCTTTTGGCTCAAGAGTAATCATAAAACAAAGTTTAAACTGTAGCATTGCATGGCTGATTCAGAATTCTTTTTTAACGTGGGCTTATATTTTTCAGGAGTAAATTATATCTATAATCTCTGTATATGTATTCTGTGGCTTTATTAAATCTGTATGCTAAATGTTTGCTACTGGGCATCGACACTAGGGACTACATCCTGTAATCACCAAAATGTTTATTTATTTGCATGTGCAATATGCTTTTTAAAAAGGGAGAAAATCGAGCGCTCCTTTTATATTCTAATTAAATCCTTTTTCTTTGTGGATGATCATTTGTGCAGTTGATAAAGACTGGTAATAATTTTTAAGCCAGCCAAATGGAGAGTATCCTTCTCTTAGTCCAGTGTGGACAAAAGTTCATCGAATCGTTTAGGTTGGAAAAGACCTTTAAGATCATCCAGTCCAACCATTAACCTACACTACCAAGTCCACCACTAAACCAATTAAGGGTAGAGTAATAATTAATTTCATCTTTCCTGGCTTGGCGGCTGGATTATTTTTTAATGAAAGTAAAAACCAGGAATCATTAAGGTTGGAAAGGATCTCTAAGATCATCAGCCCAACTGTCATGCCAACACCACCGTGCCCACTAAACCATGTCCCAAAGTGCCACCTCTGCCCGTTTTTTGAACCCCTCCAGGGATGGGGACTCCCCCACCTCGCAGTTCACAGAAGAGGGTGACTTGGAGATGCAGAATGTTTTCAAGAAAGCATCAATTTCAGACAGTAACTCTGCAGTCTGAGTTTCTCTTGCCAGTTGGAAGGGGCAATGGATGCATTTCAGAGACTGCCTTAAGTGGGAGATGGGAGTCTGAAGCCGCAATAAGCTGCAACTGGAAATGAAACATTGATAAGTAGTTTCAGTGTGTTTCAACATCACGACAACAATAGCATAACTTTTCTAGTTTGCCACCATAGTTCAACCTGTACATCTAAAAGCACCATCTAAATCACTATCTTGAAAAAACATGTACTGGCACGGTGTGTCATTCTCTCCATTACATCAGGTGAATGTTAGAGAAAGTCCCGTTCTTCCTGACTATATCCACCAAGATGGCAACGTGTTCATCTGCTGCCTGTTTATTTCTACACAGTGGCAGGGTGCAGCACTAGAGGTTCCTCTGGTTCCAGCACCAACTGGGCACTTCACAGACCCAGAGCTCCCCTTGCAGCTCTGGAAATTGCTGAGACTTGCAACTCAAAATCAGTGAGGCTCCGCTTGCTGCAGCTGGATTCTTTTGGGCTGAGGCGTTGCAGAATCCTGAGTCTTTGTCATGTTTAAGCAGTTGCATTATATGCCTGTGAGGTTTTCAGAAACGTGGTCTTTCCTACATTTGATTGACTGTTTATATCAAGTTGTCTTAAGGTGCTTCCATTTCCAGTGTAACTAGCGGTCACGCAGACCTGTACTTGGACTTCTGGAGTTCTGGGACCTAATGGTGCAAACCAGTTAAAGACACTGATGGGAAGTATGAGAAGGAGATCAGCCTGCCTGATGTTAGCGTTGTAGGATCAGTTGGTGCACTTGCTACAGGCATTGTGTGACATGAGACCAGGGATAAAAGAAAAGAGGAAAAAAGGAAAGGCGTTGCCCTACAAGCTTTATTTTTGTCTTATCAGAGAACTCTTTAAATTAATCTCCCCTCCTTTCCTCCTCCACAAAAGAAAACTAAGTATGTAAAAAAAAAAATCTGATACAGTCGTGTTGGCTTCTGTGGTGAAAATTTCTTCCCAGTTACAGCAGAACAGAGCAGTTACAACTATTCCTTTAGGTAACTGATAGCTATTGCAACATGAGGTTTACAGCTGCCTCCCATGAACAGACGACTTGTTTCAGCTCACAGAGGAAACGGCTGCTGTGTTAAGAATGAACAGCACAAGAGTGAATGAAAAATGTTTGCATAGGAATTACATCCTCTTAGGTTTCATAACTCAAGCCTTCTTACATAAATGCCGGCACATTTGGCTTAGAAACCAGAACAAGAGAGGGCATATTAGTGCCTGGAGCCTGCGTGTCTATAGGAAATACAGAGCTTCACATTAGCATCCTCTTCAATCACGGCTTGCTCCTTACTGCTGTGCTGGCTTACGGCTTATCTCTCACCCCTTTCGTTGTGGTAGTGTTTTTATCGAGGGCAGCATCTCAATGGCATCTGCAGAGGAAATTATAATTTTAATCTGATGCCTTTTTTTTAAGTCAGTTGATGCACAAGATCGTGAATGATCAGGACTTAGTGGCACTAGTACGCTGGGAGCGCCTGAATGGTGACTTAGTATCGACTCACCTTGTGAAACTGCTTTTCTGCTCACATAATTCACATTGCTGACACTGTACTTTCTTCCTGAGCAGGTATTTGTGGTGATAAGATGGAGCCTTCCCCGTTTAACAGAAAACAATGGACTTCTCAGTCTCTGAGAATCACTGCGAAAGAGCTTTCTCTAGTCAACAAGAATAAGTCATCAGCTCTTGTGGAGAGATTCTCCAAGTAAGTGCGGTGAGGCTGCCGAACACAAGCTGTGTGTCTAGGTGACAGCTGGTACCTTGAACAACGACTGCTTCACTGGCAGTTGCTTTGCTGCTTAAAAATAATACAGCTCTGTAGGCATTTAAGTTTCTGGTTTAATATATGCTGGGCAAAAGTTTTTCTAGTTGCTGACATTATATTGTTCCTGAAATCAGAATTATCTTTTTTCTGTTGTCAGAAAATAAAGTACAATGTTTCCTGTCAAACTACAAATTGCAATTTGTTTTTGAGGGCAGAGTATTGGAATGCAGGCGGCTATTGCCATTAGGGTTTTACTTCATCAGAAATGGTCTTTAACTTCCTAAGCACAAACTACATAGGTTTCTCTGCTAACATGGCATTTCCTGCCTGCTACTATAAAAAGTAACAGTAATGCTTTATCAATTAGAGACCGGTTAGAAACAGTGGTTCTGTCAACCACGGGTGCTAGATGTAACCCTCTAGTGAGAGTTCCGTCAGTAGCTATGTTCTTCACAGATGTCCCCTTCCAGATGTCTCACAAAACCTGTGTAGAAAAGGAGTATTACCCTTCCCTTTTCTCCGAGAGATGGATGATGGGTTACAGTCAAATCATAAAGTAATATTTTATACACCGAGAAAGCTGCATGGTGGTAGCCTGTACATGTTTTCTGGAAAAGCTTTTATTTCCTGAAAGAAATATATAGACTACAGCTTGGATTTTCAATGGGATTTGGGCAACCAAGTCTCCTAGGCTATTCCATTAATAGCATAGCAAGGTTTTGGAGTATTTAAATCTTGAGTGTGGGAGAAACTTTATGGAGTCTATAGGGGAAGGATAATTGCAATCTGGACTTTACACAAACATAGCTCTTTAAGTTACTGTTTAAGTACTCTGTCCTAGGGAGAAGCTGCTTGCTTGACCACTCTTGTTAAGGTAATTTATTCACCCCTTGAAACTTGATTACAAAACCTGGTCATCTTGCTAAAGGTTGGTAATCCTTTGAAAAGGGCTTACTGGAAGTAATCCAAACTGCTATTCCTTAATCAAGTAGGGTCCCTCTACATAAGCAGTGTCAGTTCCTTGGAAAAACACAGCCCTACTTCCTGGCTTTGCCCACTCTGTCACTCACAGTCAGGAGCATAATTTTTCTGAATTGCTGTTCCCTAAATATTTGTATGTGAAAACACTTTTTTCATACCATAGAGTGTTTAGATTATCGGTTTTGTCAGGTCAGAGATATGCAAATTGCAACAGCAGAGACTTAAACAGTGTGCTGCGGTGGGCTAACTTACAGAGTGAGTGCTGTCTGGGACTCTTCAATCCTTGTTTGTTTTCCAGTGTGGTACTTGACTTTCACCCCCATGTGTCTCTCTGTTGCTTCTTCCAGTACTAATCTCTCTTCCTCCATAAACTTACTTTCTCGGCATGCCTTGTTCAAATTTTGGAACCTTTATAGTACAGCAATGTAGGTTAATATGTTTGCATTGATTAAAGAGGGCCAGCTACATTCCTTTAGCAGCTTTCAGTCTGTACAGTAAATGCAGCTTGTAGAGCAGAAATAAGAGTACAATTAGTTTTCTCTCTAGTGTAACAAGAGGAGAAATCGACATAGGAGCACACCATTCACAGCAGGAAAAAAAATCAACTGTTATAAAGAAAAAATGAGTAATAGAGCAGGTATCTGCACATAAGATTTTTTTTCTTAGGAGGAACTGAGCCCATGATATACATTAGTTATTGGTTTGATACCAGCAATTATTTAAAGTCTGAAGCTGATGACTATCATGATATTAGTGTCTCATGTACTCCCTGTAACATATTCACAGTTGTATCAAAAGTAGAATTCCACAGATAACAAAGACAAACATCACTTGCCAAGCAGATGTAGGGTGACGTTTCTTCTCTTTGAAAAGCAGAGCTCTACTTAGAAATGGCAAAATTTGTCACATTTGACTAATTTGTGTGTTTCAAAAGCAAAGTGCAATCACTTTGTGCAGTACAGTAATCAGCGCGGTCTGTGTGCTCCTAGCTTGGAAGTCCTTATGCCCAGTGGAGTGGTGTGCAGATTGCTGGGAGTTTTCTATAGCTTCTTAAAGGACTTTGATTCATGATCCAGGGTGGCTTATCTTCAGAGGGCTGTGATTACTGTTTCCACTGCTGGGATGGTTCAGCTGCTCATGAAGCAACTGCTGAATTGGTGCCGTTTACAACCCAGCATAGTAAAATAAACTGGCACTTATGTAGATTTTCTGCTTATGCCAAGCTGTAATTTGTTACGGTTCAGCATGTATAAATAGCTGAGTTATTCCTGCAAGGGGGCACAGCAGACAGCTGGGTGGCGGAAACAATACAGCTATTCCAAGGTAAACGATCTATATTTGAGAATCAGAGTGCTTAGGTAATGAAAAATATTAATGTGTGCTATTATTGTAAACTGAATGACTTAAAATGTGTCTATCACTTTGCATTGTTCTGGTACTATTTGCTGCTATTTTTCCAGCCTCTGGTTTTATTTGATAGGTCTGGGAAGTGCACAGAATCCTTGGTGGGGGAAAAAAAATCCCAGCTGTCTTCAAGAGCATTCACTATTCTGGTTAAAAACTGTTTGTGTTTTCGTTTTTTTTTCTCTCTTTCCTCTTTCTCAAAGGTATCAGAAAGCGGCTGAAGAAGCCACTGCTGAGAAAAAAAGAAGTGTAAGTATTTGTTTCCTAGGCAATAAGCAACAGCCTGCAATCAGAACAGATCACCTACGTGCAATGTTTCTGTGACAGCTGATTTTTGGAATATCAAAGTTGCTGCCATGTGTCCTACAGAAAACTTGGCTTAGACGTAGTGTTTGCTTTTGACTCATTCCCTCTACCCTTTCTCAGTGTGAGTGAAAGAAAATCAAGTGCCTTGCCCAAAGCTACATGTTGAATCACCAATTTGCTCCTAAGCAAAAGGCAAAATGAGTTAACCACAACACATGAATATCCACCTCTGTTCTTAGCTGTAGGCAGTTGTGTGGTGCCTCTTCCTTTCTTAACTAAATTTAAAAGTCTGCTTAAAGGAAGCTACCAGCCTCTCAGAAATCTAACGCATCTATCTTTGATAGCCGTAGAATCCGTTAAGGGGGATCTTCTCTGAAGTGGCTTACAGGGTTCAAAATGTCCCTGGATGAGGGAGAGCCATCCTTTTTGGCTCTATTACAGCCTCGCTTTCCCTCCTGTAAACTACATTGTGCTTACTGTTCTGGGGTCGGGGGACCCTGGCTGAAATACCAGGCGCTACGATCGCAGGTCTTTGTATAAGCAGATCCTCAGTTTGATTTTTATTTAAAAAGACCGGCAATATTTTCAGGATACATAGGTAAGTCTTTGTTAGACCATGCTGCCTTGATCTCTTTTGTGCTTGAGGAGTCATTCTTTTCCTGTTCGGGATAAGGGTGTGATAAAATAAGCATTCTAAAAATTACTCTCCAGTCTTAGATTTTCTTCATTGCTTGTGTGATCAGGGAACAGGCGAGTCCCAAGCAAGAATGACTTCTGTTTATGAAGTATGCCGGGACTCCGCAGGCGTCGTGTCCAGAGGTGTTCCTGTGGAAACCTGCTGCACAATTTTCAGTACTTCTGGTACATTACAACATTTGCCCTATAACTTTAGTACTTTTTTTTAAACACAGTCAGAAGCAAGCTGATCTTTTTTGAAGTCTAGGTGGATTCAAGTCAATTTGCAAAGCAGTGTTCAAAATGTGACCAGAAGAGTAATAGGGTGAGAGACTTAAGTCCTAATATAGCTGCTAATCCTGTTTAATTCCTGTAAGCCTTGCAGACCTGTTCCACTTGCAGCGAGTTTGATACATAATGGTCTCCGTAAGGGAGAGACAGCAAAAAGGCAATGGTGGCAGGTATTAGATTTGAATGAATCCAGCATGGGCTGGTCTGTTACTCTGAGGAGAGGTAACTAACTACCTGTAAGCAAAACTAGTCTGAAAAGCACTTGAATGTGAGGGGTACTACTGCTCCATGTACTACCATCCCACTCACAGTGGTAAGGCAGCGCTTGCGACTTGTGTGCATCTTTCCTGAATGTGTTGAGTGAAATAGAAGAAAAATTCCAGCAAACGATTTGGTATTCATAAATGGGAGCAAAAAGACATTTGTTGTCAGTGCTTAGCTTCATCCTGACACTGCATGGGAGAATATACTGAAGACAGATATTTTGTAACCAAAACGCTGCTGTTAACTGATAGGAGAATGCATTAACTCCAAAAAAAGTAGTGGCTTCTGAAAGCTAATCTGTAGCTTTTTGGAAGGCCTACTAATTGTTGTCTTCTGAACCAGCTGGAAGACATTGCAACATTTGGCACACCACCCATCTCTCATGTGGCTGCTTTTGCTATTTGTTTGCTTGCTCTAGGACTAGAGACCCTTGTTGTGTGGATTTTGGTCCCCTTTCCTTCATGGGTGGATTCAAGCCTTTTGTGTGTCATTTAACTCATTAGAGCTTGACTCCCTTTTTTCCTTATAAGGCCATCCTGTTTGCTCACTTCCTGCTTTAGCTCCTGACTTTTCTCCCCCCTCCTTCCTTTCCTATCCTGGATGCTTTCTCCATGTGGCAGAGTTGTAACTATTCACAGCTGTGTGAAAAAGCAGAGAGCTGAGATCAGTACTGAGCCTTTAGCTTCCTTTTGCATAGAAAGGAAGTGCTTTAATGCTTCATCAGGCATATAACTGGAATTAACTTCTTGTTCTTTGTAGAACACAGAAAATCTTCCCCCCCATTTTAAAAGGGGGAATCTGAGTGTACTAAAGAAGAAGTGGGAGAATCCAGCGCTGGGAGCGGAGTCTCAGAAGGAAACTCTACGAAGCAGCTGTGCTGAGGTTAGGCACAAGGTCGCCAGCCCCGGGCTCGGAGTCGGGAGCAGCCCTGCGCCTTCCCCAGACGAGGAGCAAACCCCGGGGGCTGGTGCTGCATCTGACGCCCAGGCCCCTTCCAGCACCCCTGGCCAGCTGCAGTGTCCCGGAGCTGACCACAGAAGGCTTCAAAGCCACTCGCTGGAGAGCGGTAAAATGGAAAACTGTCTGAGAGAGTCCAGAGAAGTGGAAAAGCCTGAAGCCAGCGAAAACATGGACTCTTCGGGGAAGATCGAGAAATACAGCGTTCCGCTGAACAAACTCAAGATGATGTTTGAAAAGGGTGAAGCGACTCAGACCAAGGTAAGGATCTGTCCCTTCAAATCCCAAGAGAAACTAAAACTCTGCTGCCTCTTGGGCATCAGGAAAAGTCCCTGGAGGGAGTGGCTCCGAACTATTGACTCTACAAATAGTTGTATTCATTGTTAGTTGAAACATAACGTAGCTGGTGTTAATAACTTACTTGAGCTATACAAATATGTGCAGAGTGCTTAGATTTGTGGCTATTTGTGATTGCTCATTGGAGATGTAAAACAAATTTGCTTGTGAAAGGGGTACAATTTATGAGAGAAAAATAAATATGGAATTTATTAAGATGGTTTTTAAAAGCAAGTTGGGATTGTTTATATCTTTAGATTGAGTTATGCAAACATGAATTGTGTAAAAAAAAAAAAAAAGTGTATACACATATATATATTAAAAGAAAGAAAAAGTAACTGTTCAAAGTGAGCTCAGCAGTCTCAGCCAGCTGCAGTTGAGATGGAAGTACTGCCAGAGTTAAGAGTATTTTTTATATACGTATCAGTATGTGAGTCACACATATGCACATATAGAGACATATATAAAGTCCTGCGAAATGTTCCCATCTTTTCCTTGCTGTTCTCTCATCTTTGCATCTTAACAAATGTTTCTTATCAGGGAAAAAAAAAAAAAATCCTTACGGGGAAAAATAGGCAGAGATAGCCAGACAAGCTCCTGCCTTCACTAGTTTTGACTTGCAAATGCACAGGGCTTGCATTTTCTTACAACTGCTCATGAAATCTGATCCGGCATGTGGACTGCAGACTGTGTGTCCCCGGGGAGAATTGCTTAACTAGAAAATGAGTTGCATATGCTAGTGACTTGCAACATATTCCTGAGGCCTTGATGCTGGTGGATTTTCCAGTTTTCTCATAGTTTCCTATACTTCTGGCTTTGTTTTACTGCGGGTGGTTTTCTTGCAGTACTGAGTAAAAGAAATTTTGTACAAAAGTTGTTTAAATATGTAACAATTAAGGGCTTCAGAGGAGCACCTCTGGGTTAAAGTGAGTTTTGGGTCTGTATATAGTAATTTCCCAACTTAGATTTTTGTAGTCTTTGTCATTATGTAAGAGCTGCCCGTGCTATCGCGTCTATTGAAGGGGCGGGCTGCGGAGGGTGATCTCCTGATAGCACTTCTCTGAACTCTTGCTGTAGGATTAATCAGTCAGGATTCCACAGGAAAGTACCGTTTTGCAGATGGGCTTCAAGTAACTTTATCTTAGCCTGGGGAATAAATTGTTTCGGAGCTGACTGAATCTGGAACTGATATTTCTGTCAAGCTTAGTAATTCAAATATTGTTGAAAACTGATTGAACACAGTAAACACCATACAGTAGGTATGAAACTATCCAGGTTAGGTTCAAATTATGTTCCTATTCCAAGTTCATCTGGTTACTTTGTGCCTTTTCCCTTCTAAAATTAAAAAGCGCTCTAAAGTTTAAGTGTATGGGGGGAGGGGTTGTCTTTGTAATTAGAAAGCACTATTGTAAGATTTCTGTTTCTGGGAATTGATCTGAGGACTGGAGGGTGATGTCATGCAGTCACGTACAATGAAGATAGTTAGGCGCTACGGGGACACAGACCTTTTTCACTAAGGTAGGAAGCAACTACAGCAATGGTCTAAGTTTGGCTAACTGCAGGCTCTGCAATTGCCTCTTCCGTTGATGCTTTTCCTGACCTCTGTCCATTGATAAACCCCTGGTTTAAGTGCAAAGAAGGCTTCAGTTGAGAGATGGCAATTTTCCTTGGTATTTAACTTCAGTCTTAAGGTGTAAGTGCCGTCGGAGCTTTGCTGACAAAACACCTGTATAAGCTAAGTAGCAACATGGATGTAACTTCATGGCAGTGAAGATAAAATGACTTGCCTGGGTGGTGGGCAAGTCTGTGGCAAGAATTCGGGTTAAAGCCTGGATTTCCTGACTCAATCACCCACTCTAAACAAACCTATTCTCATTTTCAGGGTTATAAGCAAAACCTCCTAGTTTATTCATTATTCATTCAGATCTTGCTCTGTCTTCTGCAATTTAGATAAGAAGCAGATCTTTTTTTATTGCATCTTCATGGAAAAAAATGCTCTAACCATATTAGAGGCAGGCAGGTCGATCTAGATTGGTTCAGCGCTAAGCAAAGACTGAACATCAGGTCTTTTATCAATTTCAAAGAATTCTTCCTGTAAGTGATAGTGAAAGCATACACAAAGAAGATCAGAAGAAAGAGCAAGCAGATCCGCAATACTTCTTAAAAAGTTGTCCCCAAGTTGGTTTGTGTTTTTCCTTTAAGGCAAAAACTTACCGTCTTGTGTAGCTAACCTTATGCGCAGGGTCACATTTGACACAGTTATTATATAATGAAATAGGTGTAACTTTTATTTGGTCTTTTGCCCAACAACTCTTTGCGCCCCAGGCGAAATGCTGTTAACTCTGCTTGTGGTACCTCTGCACGCACCTCTTTGTCTTAGAACCTTGAGGCTTTCCAGACACGAGGAATATTTTATCTCATTTTGCAAGCAGCAGAAGCTGTGGCACGGGACTTGTGGCCTAGCCAGGGCTGTAAAGGGAACTGAGCGGCACAAGCATAAGGCTGGGAGTCAGGGATTCCTTTGTACGAAAGGTGTTAGCTTCCGTGAGCTGCAGTCACCCTAGTTACTTGTGGTTGGTCAGTCTATTGATTGTAAGGGGGAAATTCCCTCATCTTCCCTGTGTTAAACATTTTTCCCCCGATTACTCTGCTTTTCTTCCCCCAATATAAAACTCTTGATATAAAACCTACACAACACTGACTTTATATCTGTAGGTTTTAGTACGAGGACATGTACAGAAATATCTCTGAACTCTAACTAAAGCTTTTGTATTTTGGTGGTTTGGATTTTTACTCTCAAGACCTAGGCTAATTGTGTTATACAACTTATCTACAGAAAAGTTCTTCAGGCGAAATTGTAATATCTGTAGGTGTCTGAGGTGGCAAAGAGGACAGGAGGAGAGGAGCTGGCAGGACTCTGGGGGTGATTCAGCTGAGAGTTGGAGTGCTCCTTAACTCAGTCTGTTTTAGCTGGTCATGAGATGGCTGCCTCCGATAACTGAACTTTTCCTGCTGCAGTGGATTCCACAGTAAGGTGGTACAATGCAGGGAAAGCTCTTTGCTCTTAAGTCGGAACTCGCCAGCCTTCATGAAGGTCCTGCTGAGTCAAGCAGAAGAGTCTGTTTCTGATCAATATCGAATCCTTCACCACTGGTAAAAATACGGAGGTTTTTGGTTGCTTGGAAGAAAACCTTGATTTTGTGCACGGGTCTAGATGAGGCGCTGGACGCTGCTCCAGAATTCCTGTTGGTGGTAGCTGACTGAACGCTTGTCGTAATTATTTGACAACATGCTGGCCCCTTGCCACCTCTTACTTAGAGGTTTAATTTGTTTAATAATTAATTTCAGTGATAATTGAGAATTATTCTTCTTCTCAACATGAGGGCAGTTCAGCATGATGTTACTGGAGAAAAACTACAGTGAAAATAAATTGAAAAGAGATTCTGAAACAAAGGAGAATGAGAAGAGGGAACCTGAAGAAGTTTCCAATCTTGATTTCTAACTCTCTTTTTCTCTTGAAAAGTGCTGATCGTTTCTTTCAGTGAGGTTGGAATCCCAGATGCGGGATCTAAATTACTTGAATTAAGACCTTTGTTCCCTAGTAGTGAAAACTTCCTTATATGCTCTGCTGCCAGTTAAACTGCCCCTGTGTTTATATGGCAAATTTGTTTTTTCATTTGTAGCTTTGTCAGTCCTGCTGTGTGTAAGAAAATGTGTGTGGTGCCATATTATTAAAACCAAACCAAAACCAACAAAAAAAAATCGCGCCCGCCCCCGGGGGACACCCATCCCCCATGCTGAAAAAAGCCCGCCCCCCCCCCCCCCCCAAAAAAAAAAAAACCCAACCCAGGGCAGCGATAAAATGGTCAGGGGTGTCAAGTGGGCTAATAAACATGTTTTTTCTTCTGTGTCCTCAGAGGATCTCACTTTCAAGTGTATTCTGCCTACAATGATCTTCCTTGTATACTAGTCAAAAGCTAGACCCTTTGAATGACAAATTTCTGAGTTGTGAGAACTTCAGACTCATGGGCTCAAGGTGACATTAAAGTGGACGTAGGCTGAGTAAGAATCATCTAAGGATAGTTTGCGCAGAATGAGGAATCTGCAAGTCCTTACAAGTGTGCAGACACTCCCAAACTGAACCTATCAACACATTCAATGGAAGGAAAAGACTTGTCATACCTAAGCTCTTTTCCAGTAAGAAAAGTTACCAAAGTCTTAAACCACAGAAATAGAAAATATTTCCCATGCTAATGGAAAAAGAGGTTTTCCAGCTGCATTTTCCTTTCCTGGTAAAGTTGCTGTTTTGTATGCCAAAGCAGTCTGATTTTTCACAGTGATTATCTTACAGTGCAGTTCTGTTAAAATAAAACTTCGGAATTTCCTTCAGTTTGGTGACCAGCAAATAAGAAACTCGTTGGAAGTTGAGGGGGGGGTGGAATGTGTGGTTGGAGCATCTTGCCAAACCTGCCTTTTTCCCTACGTTAGCCTCAATCTTAATTTCCAACTGGCTCTGTGATTTAACTCTTCCTAGGGAGGGAACAAAGATCTATCACCTTCTAGTATTTTATAGGTTGACTTTCAGCTGTGAAAACATCCTATCTTGATGAAGTCAAATTAAACTCTGCACTTCAGGAGCATTTATCAAAAGCTGCTGAAATTTCTTTTCACAATTTCTTTTATGGAGCATTAGATTTTTGGGGAGTTGGTCTCAACAAATGAGTATTAAATCTGATTGAGCCAGCCAGAGCATCTGTGCAGTCGTGTTACAAAACACCCTGTCCAGCACTGCATTGTCGATAGTGATTATCCTGGATATCTGAAAATATGTAATCTCCAGCACTCTCCTGCTTAAACTTCAGCCTTATCAGACCTAATTAAGGAATGATTTGGTACCAAATGCATAAGCTATCCAAACCAAAACAAGTAACTTTAGATAACTTTTATTACAATAGTATTTATTCTTCTTTCTGTTGCTGAAAATCAATGCAAATTTTTGGTAGCTCAGTCCTTTCATACTTTTTCTGATTTTAAATCATCATAAAATGACCTTGAACATTAGCTTCAAAAGAAATTGTATGAAATACAAAACTTCAGTCTAGATTTTGGCATTTGCAGTGGTAAATGCCTAAAAATCTGATCTTTGTAGTTCTCTGACTTTTCAACAAAGATAACTAGTCAAAGGGCATCTACTGACCTCTTCAAGAAAGTGTTTTCCAGGTGACAGAGGGTCAGGTATTCTGTGATCAAACTTTATATTGGTTAAATAAGATGTCACCTGCTAGACTTGTTTATTCCAGTAAAGCAGATTTGCTAGTGACACCTGTGCATCTTAAAGGATTATACGCAACAATCTTTGTCTGTCCAGGCAGCTGATAGGTGGCTCTTGTCTCTAACAGGTCCCTAGAGACCAGAGGAAGACAGCAGTCGGCAGGAGGATTTCCGAAAACAGCCTCTCTTCGGAGGACTTTGATGTTGGCCAAGGAGAGAAGAGCCATAGCACATCAGGTCAGTTATGGTTTGTGTTTTGGTTTGGGGTTGGGTTTTTTTTAGTTTATAAAATAAAACTGCTTTATACGATACGGCGGAAATAACTTTTGCCTTTCAGAAATGGAAGAAAGTGTAGCCATCTTCCATCTGTAAAGTCCATGTGAGCATTGCATTTAATTAATTAAGTCTTGCTGTGAATTTTAAACCATTATACTCTTAAGCACAGGAAACCAAGGCACAGGAGAAAACTAGCAAGTTAAGGAATGGAACCCATTTTTCCCCTGTGTCTTAATCCTAGAACTACTTTTAATAGTCAAACTAATTTAGAAAGTAGTGAACAGACAGACAAGACAATGTGCCTTCTTCCTTCTTGCTTTGACTCTCATCCCTCCTACCTTGTCCAGACATGGGTAACTACAGCTAGCCTTATGACTTGAGCAAAATTATGTATTTCTCATATGTTTGGAGACTCTTTTCTAACAAAGCATTTACAGTCTTTTGTGTTTTCAGCCTATGGCTAATATTATATCTCACTACTTAGTGATGCACATTGGGTCCTTATTTGAGCAATACTGGAGAGAATGGCAAGGACTACTTACAATTGTTATTGTCCTCCGGAGGGACCTTAAAGATTCATACAACTTTTTAGTCATTCAAGGCCACTAGCTAGTGAAAGGTTGGGGTTTTTTTATCATTCTTCATTGAACAATTAAGCTATTACTGAAGACCTGACCATTATACAAGGAAGTTAGATAGCAGAGCAGTCACAGAAGCTGGCTCTTTAAACCTATTTGGCTAACATCTGACAGCAAAAATGAAAGATGGATGGCAAGTAATGGGACACAGTTCTGAGAGTCAGGAGATCTGCACCTATGCAAAGACTTAAGGTCCCAAATGTTTCTTTCCTCTTGAGAAAAACACAGATGCTTCAAATGATCCTGCGAGACTAAATGGAATTATTTCATAATATGTTTGTTCTCGAGATCCTCATCTGTAACATGTCATGTGATAAATTATTTTCATGGAGAAGGTGGAAGTGGTAGGCGAGATGTCCTTCCTCGCTTCCCATGTTTTCCCCAAAAGACTTTGGAAACAACTATTCCACTACAGGAATGATGTATATTTCCATTTAGCCACTGTAGCAGCTGCTTTCATTTGACAATAACAGCAGAACAATCTTCAGTGTTAAAACTGTTTGCTCTCATTACTTCCGAGACCACTGGCTGGATGCTGCATCTGGTGAATACACTACTTCTGAAACTAGCTGGATTAATTATGAGACTTGGAGCATAAACCTTTGACTTGAAGCATTTCTGTGCTCTTCACATCTGGCATCTCTGTGGTCTTGGGACTGGTGAAGGGATGGGATTTGTAAATCTTTCTGCAGACAGGTCTACTGGTGTTCCTGAAAGTTACCCTTTATTCATGTAGTTCTTTTTCCAGGGCATCTTGTAGATACTAGTCCAGCACTCAGCCCAGATAAGGCAGAGACCAAGAAAAGCCTGGAGATGCCTCGCTTAACAGAAACTTCAATAAAGGATAGGCTGGCGAAGTATCAGGCAGCTGTGTCCAAGCAGGGCAGTTCCACAGGCCTCATTACCATGGTAAGTCTGTTCTTTGGCTCGTGTGGAAGTGAATTTTTGTCCCAACCTGAGACTGGAAAGAAGATCTTATGGAAACCAGGCTTTTTGAAGATAATGCCATCTTCTTTTGAAAATAACTTTGTGCCCGTAGGAGTCATTTCTAATGGCGAGTTGCCTCTACATACTGTAGGAAGAAAAAAGTATTTGCATCTTCCTGGAATAATCTTGAAAGTTTTCCAAGGAATTAATTTGAGGTCCTTCGGAAACATAGCTGACATTCTTTTTCTTTCTGCATGTCTGTAGCTCTCTGCATATTTGTGGTTGTGTGTTATTTGGGGTTTGGGGTTTTTTGGGTTGTTTTTTCCCTTTTTTTTCTTTTTTTTTTTTTTAAACCAAACTCAATTATGTATTGTACATTAGCTACAAGCTAGGGGAAACTAAGGCACAGTAAGATGGAGCGACTTTCAGTGTCATACACTGCACAGGACCTGGATCTCTTGGCCTGCAGCTTTGGGATCTCCAGTCAGTTTTCCTCCCTTTTGCTTTTCACCTCCTTTCAAGTCTTCTCGCCCATTATCTGAATCCAATTAGACTCTTGCAGTGAATGAACCCGTGCCAATTTTGCAGATATCTGGTCAGAAAATGAGCAGTTAATGAATCATGGTACAGTATTGCCGCTGAAGAGATTGCAAGAATCTAAGCTTTTGTTAAAAAGTGCTTAAGTACATTTGCTGGAACTGTCTGATACTTTTGCTTAATGATGGGAACTTTTATTGCTTAAGTATGACTTTTATTAACCAGAGTAATAGATTTTAAGAGGCTAGGCCTTTTTAAGTTAAGAAACTTGCACTGGAAATAAAAGCCAAATTTTATGGTTCTAAGCTTTGGAAGAGTGCATGCTTCCTGGGTATCTTTGTAGAATGGCAAAAGTCTCTACCCAGCTGAAATGATTTCTGAATTTCATATGCAGTGTGGATCTAATTCTCCAACCCTTGGGAGGAAAGTAAACTTCACCGCATGAATGGAAAGTAATTGCAGCCAGTGCAACAAATCTGATTAACTGCTAATTGATGATTTCTGCATCCTGTTTCTTGCCTGGATTCAGTTTGCTAGATTGCCTTTTCCAGTTTGTGGCTCAGAGTGGTAGCTGATCCACTAAATTATGTCCTAATGGCAAGAGATTTACCATAGATGTCTCTTGAGACTCTTGTTTGCAAATCCCCAACGCTATCAGCTCGAGTGTCAGTCCAGCCTGATGCTCTTGGGATGTCCCATTTGGCACAATCTCCTTCGATTTTGGCCTGGCACATTGGCAAGGGCAGCACATAAGATGGAACAACGGTTTCTGAGGCCAGTGTTTGCAGTACTTCTGCGTTCCAACAGCAGCCATAACGCTTGGATATTCCCCTTCCCTGCTGACAAAGCAGCTAGGGCTCTTTTGATATGGTAGTGTGGTATTTGTACTTCCCTTCTCTTAAAATGTGTCAGATCTGTGCTATAAAGGGAAGCCATAGTCTCTCTTGGGAGCAACTATTTTGAGGGCATTGGGATGTAATTAGGCCTGGATTAAAACTGATAGACTCTTTTACAGATGGTTAGAGTAAGGGTGAGAAGCAATAATTTCTATGCATGGCAAGTGATACAGGAAGGGGAGGGAGGGATGATGGACAGCATAGTTAGAGATCAATACATTAAAATTCTAACATTCAATTACATACCTATTAGATGTGGCTGGTTTTGTGCAGACTTGTTTACAAAATCCGGTAAGATGCTGGTGCTGGCATTTGGCTGTTTCTCTTTCATGTTACAGGGAAGATGCCTTATGAAAGGCACGAGTCTTTCTTCAATTATCTTCTATCCTGTGGCAATGAAAGAAACACGAGATTTCACTGGATTTTTTTTTTTTTAAGTCCGAAAGATTCTTTTGTGAAAATCTCAAGTCAGTTTGTCAAGAACAAAAATCTTGGTAAATAACAATTAGGTTTTTGACTAGTATTGAAGCAAGGGTAGGATTTGCTTTTATGTTGAATTGTATTTTTCAGTTACACAGTGCTTTAGATAGTGCTTGTCTTGAAATACTTGTAATTTCAAATGCAAAGTTAACTTTTCTGGAAAAGGAAGATGTGGATTCAGCAGAGGAAATGAGAGTTGATTTTAAACAGGAATCGGAAGTAGAGAAAAGGGGTTGTTTAGAAAAATGCAGGCATTACCTCCATAAGGTATAGTAAAATTCTGCATCCCCATCTCTTTTCTTCATTAGAATGTATCATTTACCAAGTTTGTATAGATTTTTATGGTCCTTCCTTTAATTATCACTGTATATACTAGGAAAACAGCTTAAAAAAGATTTTAAGAAAAATAGAAAGCAAGTACTTTCCTAGGGGAAAAGAACGTGTCAACTTTCAAGTGCTTTATTCTATAGAATGAGATTCAAGCCAGTGAAAGTGAACTCAAGAATTACAAATCTGAGCAGAAGGAGAATATGCCACCAAGTCTTGAGGACTCCATTTCCTATCAGGATGGGGAGAAGGTAAGAAGCTCATGCTGGTGAAGATCAAGGACTTCACTTTAAGTGGAACTAGTTGTAGAAGCACAGCTGGTATACTTGTTCCACATGCCATCTAGAAATTGAATATGAGCAGCTGATACAGATTATCTACATGCTGCAGAATTCCTGATTTTTTTTTTTATTATTATCTTTTTAGACTATCTGAATTATAAGCTAGCAAGTCTCTGTGGAAGACTCTTAAGCAGTTTTATAGAAAGTCTAGAGATAAATTTTAAGGTTTTTTTTGAGACTTCCCCTGTCGTCTTGGTAATGACATGCCTGTAGTGTTGCACAATCCTTCAGTATCATACTTATGTGTGTTCTGATGGCTTCAGTAGCTGACTAGGGCTGAAACCTCTGGTTTTGTGGGTTTTTTTTGTACTGGATTTTTTTTTTTACTCTGCCATTAATTTTTGATGACTATGATGAAGCCACCTAAACTTTTTTTGTGTCATGTTCCCTAACTGTAAAAAGATGATTCACAGCTAGGTATTTGTTTGTTTGTGGGTTTTGGTGTGTTTGGTTTTGGTTTTTTGGTTTTGGGTTTTTTTTTAAATAAAACAAAAAAGAAACCACACCAGAAAAAAAAAAAAAAAAACCTATGGGAAGCTTTGTGTGACACAAGTAAAAGGAGTTTGTCACTGTTTCTTCTGCATTTAGTGGCTAAATTTTGATTAAGGTAGCTGAGAATGCCAGTTTGGGTTTGTTCCTGGTTTTAAGCTTCAGCTGTAAATTGAGACTAAACTACTCTGTGAATTAGAGATAATAAAGCATGCTCAAGCATTTGTATACTAAACTGGGGACAGCAGACGGGATAAAAGTAGCTGAATAATAATTGGGGTACTGTGTATTCCAGCCATTCTGAACACGTGGCAGCCTAATGCCAGGAGGGCTTTGAGAGCTTTCCAGCCTTCCTTGGGCAAGGGGCCAAACTGTTGCTTTCAGCTGTTCCTCACTGACAGCTGAGCAGCTTCATGTTTAACTGGTCCAGGCTGCTTTTTACTAAAAGGTGAGTTAATTAAAAAAACCACCTGTTAAATCAGAATACTTCCCTGTTGTTGAATGGAAGTTTTGGATAAAATTTCTTGTATTCAGCTGTAATTGTGAAGTTACTTGTTGAGGTGTCCAGGTGCAATAAAGAACCTGAATAGAACATTGTTTGAGAGCCAGGATTGTCCTTCTGAAATGACATGATGAATGTTGGAAATAAGCCTAATTAAAACTACTAGTAGTAAATGTCAGAAACAGGAATCCTCTGGCAAAAAGGAAACTAAAGAAACTTGCTAACCTTCTCTGTCATTTTTCACGCTGAATCCATGAAAGAATTAGTAGCCAGACGTGTGACTTTAACAGCCACAGAACATGCTGATACACTTCCCAGTATATTAATGTTACAGTTATTTTTTTCAGTAGACCAGAGTATGTTAATGTATGTAACTTGCTTCCTCATTAATTTGCAAACTCCAGTTGCTTGCAATGGACCTTCCAATCATTAAAGTGAATTAGTGATGACTTGCAGTTAATCTTGTTACAGTACTTTAGTTTCTCAGTGTAGCTATTTACAACTATTTGATTTAATAGCAATAGTGCCAAGTTTAATAAAGACATATACATCAAGAGCTTTATCTGTAACATGTTTAGTATCTGAAACTGGTTTATATCCACCTCTTCTAAAAAGTTTGGTGTGGGGGTTTTTGGGGTTTTTTTTTTTTTAAATATGAATCTGTTTCTGAAGGAGGATGAACAGGATAGGTCTAGGCATGTTTGTGCCAACCTGGGAACAGCAGACTTCTAGTTCTCCAAAAGCTTTGCACTGTCTTTGCTGAGTGTTTAAATATCACAGATTTGTCACATGTTGCAGGGACCCATGATATTTCCAGTAAATGTGTACTGCTTGGTGTCAAGGGATTTCTAAGAAAGAAAATCTGGGAGGTACATCAACGAAATCAACAAGGATTCTGAAGACTAATAAAGTGTGTGTGTGTGTGAACACTATGGCAGATGATCTGAATACTGCAAGAGCTGTAAAATTATGAGGATGTCTACCTTGCAGCAAGGACTAACATTCTGGACAGTCAGCTGGACTTTGCCTTGTGCCTTACAAAACAAAAAGTAGCTTCACATGCACCTCAGTGTGGCCAGCGTATTCCTCTTTAAGCGCTTACAGTGTCAAACTGCCTGTTGTGTTACTCAGGCCGTGATTATTCAGACTTCAGAAGGTCAAAGGTGCTCATGGTCTAATATTCTCTTGCAGGTTTCTGTAGGTGAGAACAGCTTGTCTTTCCACTCTGGTGTTCTAGAGGATGGCAATGGTAAGCACTCGTTCTCCTGCCTCAACAAGAGGCTGAGGAAAAGCACTGACTCTGCCCAGTTGTGTGTAGGATGCTTAAGATCAGTCCTGTCAAATGATGAATGTGACCCAATAAAAACTTGCTTTGTACTAAAAAAATCTGTCCTGTGCCTAACGTAACCTGAAAGAAACTGTTATAAAGTTTTAGCTGTTCATTTGCAGTTGTAATTCTAAGACATCTGTAACTCTTGTTTGCACTGACTGAACATAATTTAAGTGTAGCTTCCTCACGATTTGGCCTTAAATTACAGCTCTGGCAACTATTAGATCAGTCAGTAGGCTGAAGTACTTACTAATGCAGGACAATTACCAAGTGTCTTAGGTGTTGTCCAGAGATAGCCAAATTCCTATTCAGTAAAGTACATAAGCACATTCTCATGTTGCCTTAGCTTTACGCCTAAATGCAAGTCCACACGTGAGCACTTTGTGGAAATGAAGAACAGTTCCTGGAAGTTAGGTGTTGGATCCCCGTATATTAGTTTCCCTTACATATCAACTTAGCTTCCCTGGTAAATCAGAAAAGTAGAATGATCATGTTTTAAGTATCTGGATCTAAAGGTTTAATAGCAGATGTTCAAGAAAAAATGTTAGCCCTTGGCTGGTAGGCTTGTTGTTTGGTCTTAGGAGCATAAGCTTTCCATGGCTTTAAAGTCATTGCAATTACCTTTTCCTCTTCCTTTGTGCCCTTAGTTGGACAAAACTTGGAGAGCAAGACAGAAGTTCAGAAACCTGTCAGCACAAAGCAGCAAAACTTTGGTTCTAAACCAGCTGGCCAGACAGATGCATCTCTGCCAAAAGCAGCGAAGGTAATGCAGCTATTTATTCTCAAACATTGGCAATGGTTAAAACCAACTAACTTCTCTATTTAATATTGAAAAGCCTTAATGCAACCGATGTGGTCACAGAGGGTCTGGCAATAACTGTCTCTGTATCTGATCTGCCTTCATCAGACTGTGTTCACGAGGGAACTTTAATTCAGAATGGAAAAGCATCTCAAAACTGTCAGTTTTTCTTCAAAGACCAAGTTTGAGTTGCTTGCTGGGAGTTGTCCCACTGCTGTTACAACAGTGTGCCCCTGCGACAGAGGCAGTTTCTCTTCAGTGTGGGAAGAGGGGTTTGAGCAGGGGATCGTATCCGGGCTTGTCTATGCCTCTTGTAAAGTCAGTGCTCCTAGAGACTGGCACTGAGGTGAAGAGATACTGCTCTTCAGAGCCTGTGATAGGCTGGGACTTGGCTTTCCGCCCTCCTCTTCCAGCTGTTCCCAAGGTAACTGCAATTGGTAGCAACTTTCTAGTAAGGGCACTGCAGTGACTGATGCCACAAAGACTGCATTTGGCGTTCTGAGTAGCAAGTCCTTAATGTTACATTTTCTTTAGCAGGAGCTATAAAGCATAAAGCAGATGGAAAACTTCTTGCATAGGAATGTATTTGCTAATCTTATTAGACACACAAATGGCAGTGCTGAACATTTTAATCACGCTGTACTTTCTTGTCACGTGTGCTGTCTGGAGTTAGGATGCCTATTCCCTGGGCTGCCACAGACTTCCTGGCTCACTCCTGAGGAAACAACTGTGCTTTTGTTGTTTTCCCCATCTTTGAGAGGAACAGCACTGACCTCACAAAGACCAGTGAGATGTGGCTTCCTAGTGTTCTGGAGTATAAATGCCAGTATGTGAAATTATAGCTGCCTAAACGTTTTTGTAATCTCAGTCTGTTACAGCATACAAGATAAACACAACCTGTGTGTCTCGGTCCTCTGTGCTATCTCTTTATATTATTAGAACCATTTTAGTCCTCTACCTTGTTACTTCTTTAGATGCTGCACTGCTGAGATAGAAACCCAGATGCTGTTTATTCATGTAAGGTTCCTTTTTGTCTCTTCCAGCTTTTGTTTCCTGTTCTTGGTTCCTAACCTCTACTCCTGCCTTCTGCTTCCCTCCTAATGTGAGCTCAACTCTCAGCTTTCTCTCAAGTTTTTCTATATTTATTTGGCCTCACCTTCCTCCTGTAGCTCCTATTTGTAGTATGCCTGGAAAGGAATTTCTTTCTCTTCACACCTCAAACCACCTCTCCATCAGACATAGGGCTCATTGTTATACAAGTAAGTTCCTTTTCTTAGATGGGGATGTGCATTGCAGAAGCACATGCCAGCACCGTAATGTCATCTTGCAAAACTAAGCTTTCAGGAAGAGTTACTTTCTGATGGGCAAGCAACCTGTTGCTGCCTTGCTCTCTGTGGCAAGCATAGATGATTAAATTTTTGTTTGCACCAGTAAACTCTGATTTTTTTTTTTTTTTGAGATTTCGTTTAGTGACTCAAAATTCAGATTTCATATGCAGTTTTGGCAGCACCTAGAAATTGTGGATTTTTTTTTCAAAAGGAACTCTGAACTTTTGTTGGTCAAGCTGTCATCATAATTAGAATTTTAATCTACGATAACTTCAAGCAATGCCTTAACAAAATTGAAATACCCGTTAAATTGGCAGGGAACTTTATGGTTGTGACAAACTGACTTCAGCTGGCTCTGTCTTCAGCAATCTGTCCCTCACATATTGTAACTTTCATTGCCTGACTATTGTTTCTAGTCTGTTATAAATAAATTGCTGTAATTATGTCTTCCTGTGACCTTCCTGTTTTTTCTTTAGCCATCATATTTTTCCTTAAAGCTTTTTAGTAAGTTTGTAGCAGGTAATTCTTTGTCAAAGAAAAGCTACGATATCAATGTGTCTGTGCAAACCCATGGTATGGAGCCTAGGCACTCTTTCACCCTGCTGCTAAAGTAGTTGTAATCAACATGCAGCCTGAGACTGCCAATTTTTCTACTGTAAGTTATTTAATGTTTCCTTTAAACTGCCTTCCCTATTGGCCAAGCTTAATAGATTCCAAGAAGTGAATGGCATCAAGTGACCTTTTTTCATGGACAATGTACTTGCTTCCTTGATGCTGTCAGAAAACAAAATCTGAAATCGTTCCCATGCAGTGCGACAGTGACACTTGACTCCTTAGTGTTTGAGTTTACCCTTGCACTAAATTCTCAGGAAATTCTCTTAGTGAGCACATAAACAATTTTAGCTGTTTAACCTCAAAGCCCTGCTCACTTTAAGTCTTGACCAAGTTTGAGGGCTGTGTGTCTGGAAACCTGAGTATAGTTTCTTTGCGATAGAACTGGAATTGCTTACAAGTGAAGTCAGAACTATGTTTCCTGCTGCCTGCATCTGTGCTGAGACTATTTCCTCCTCTCTAGGAGAGGAGAGCATTTAGCAAAAGTGGATAATTTCAAACTGTTGAGCAGCCTGTTCCACTCCTTTCCCCTCCCACCCTCTACCTTTTATTTTGAGGCTACTTCAGCTCTTTTTCTACGCTATTTTTTTTTATTTTGGTAAGTCTCATACTGACTGTAATCTACCTGAATATTTCTTCATCATTTTCCTATAAAGAAAAATTGAGGTTGCAGAATTAGATTAGACAGCTTTTTGGGAACTGACTCAGTCAAAGTTATAACTGAGTTCTAGTATTTTCATTGTTCCTTCTCAACCATTGCTCAACTTGTGATGCTTCAGCTGTGGAATTCACTGGGGCAAAGCCTTGGCTCACTGTCAAGCCACAGCAATGCTGTGGGCCTGCCATAGCCTCTTCCTCACTCATTGCCCACCAGAACCCACTCTACCACAATTAGCACTGAGTTGCAGAAAGTGAATCGCTGCAATTTTTCTGAGAACTCTGGAAGCCGTGCATGAACCCAAGCCAAGTCCCCTAGCAGTTGATTTATTTTCCAGTTAACAAGCTTTCTCTTCTTCCCATAGAAATTTCAGTTGCCGATGAAGGAAACCTGTGTTGGGTGTCAGAAGACTGTGTACCCGATGGAAAGGCTTTTTGCCAACCAGCAGGTGTTTCACATCAGCTGTTTCCGCTGTTCCTATTGCAACAGTAAACTCAGGTAAACACACTGCTCCATTTGGCTGCTGTCTAGGAAGTGTAACTTTCCTCTTCAGCAGCTGAGTAAGGTGCTGTTCAGGCTTAGCTGAGCTGCAGGCTACCATAACCCAGTGAATTGGAGAGAAGCGTAGGAGTGGTAATACAGTTCTAGTTCTGGCAGTGGCTTTTGCACTTGATGCAGTCTATTTTTAAACTCTTAATGTAATTTTGCGTGGGGAAAAATAGAATGTCCAACTTTGTCAAGAACTCCTGACACTTCAAAAGAGGGCCATACAAACTCATGAAAGCTCTGAGCTCGTCTTTTCGAAACGCATTGGAAGACTGAAATTGAGTCTCTTTGGTAACATAACTAAAATACACACCCGTCTCGGTGGCTGACACACAGAATGCTAACATTTGACTTTGTATTTTCCTGAACAGTCTTGGGACATATGCATCTCTGCGTGGGAATATTTACTGCAAGCCTCACTTCAATCAGCTCTTCAAATCTAAAGGCAATTATGATGAAGGCTTTGGACACAAACAGCATAAGGAATTATGGGCAGGCAAAACTGAATGTGAAGAATCCCTGGAGAAAACTGTCCATGGTGTAAATGCAACAGAAAGTCCGCAAAGCCCAGGAGTGGAGGATGCCCCAATTGCAAAAGTAGGAGTTCTGGCAGCAAGTATGGAAGCAAAAGCTTCAGCTTTGCCTGAAAGAGAAGAGAGACCAGCAGAAACCAAAAAGCTCAGGATTGCCTGGCCACCTCCATCTGACCAAAGTGTTCAAGGAAGTGCCTTAGATGAGGGCATCAAAGTACTCAAACCCAAATGGCCCCCGGAAGAAGAGATTTCCAAGTCAGATGTGCTGGAGGATGTGGATCTGGATCTCAGAAAGTTAAGAAGATCTTCCTCGCTGAAGGAAAGAAGTCGTCCCTTTACAGTAGCAGCCTCATTTAGAACAACGTCTGTTAAAGGCCATAAAACTGAGAATTCATCTTCTTCTAAGGCAGAGAGAGACATGTTGAAAAGAAGTGAGGAACTGGAGAAAGAGGTCATGGTAGACAAAAAGCAAAAGGAAAAGAAGGTTGAGAATAGGAACATCCAGAGTGCTGAAGAGAAAAATGTAGAAGAAGAACGGGAATTGTCTGGTATCAAAACAGTAGAGCATAACTTTGTAGAAAATGGCCAGGTGAATGCAGAGACAGATGAGGAAGAACATGCTATGGAAGAGCAGGAAATTCCAAATGAAGAATTCCTTGAACCAAATTCTCCTAAGCATTCCAGCTTAGCCAATGTCGTGACTGCTAAGGAATCATCTCCTAACCAGAATCGCAAATCCCAAGATGTTGGTTTCTGGGACGGTGAAGATATGGAAGACCTATCTGTGGAAGAACAGATCAAAAGAAATCGTTACTATGAAGAAGATGATGAAGAATAATTTGGCCTTTTACTAGAAAACTTGCTGCAAGGTGCTGGGCCTTTTTAAATTGGTGGTTTTAGCTTTAACAAACAGCTGTCTTCCATGAAAGCAATGCTATACTGCACATTGACATTAAGGGAATCCTATGTGCAAATATCTCAACTAGAAAAACACTCTGGAAGCCTGCAAAGAGTATATTTAAGTGCATGGAAACAAGTATCTGGCTGTGGGATAGCTTCAGCAGGTAATCTCTGTCCACAGCACAAGAACAGAGCTCTTCTGTACTCTTACTGTCTTATCCTTTTTGAGCTTCAATATGTATTTCACTAACAATTTACAGAATTTCGCTGTACTCTCAATGGTGGTGTGAAACAGGCTTTCTGTAATACACTACTTTTACCACTACAAATGCTACTGCAGTGCTTAGGGACCAATTTCAAAGGGACTTTCTGGCCTGCTTTAAAAATGGTGACTTAATGCACTTTAATACATGTAAAGGGCACAACTGGGGTTTTTTTTTAATAATAAAAACATTTATGTTTGTGCTTAGTATCCAACAACTAAAGCATCTTAAAACCGAGTGCAACGTTATTTTCTTTCTCAAAACTGCCTATGATCAATTGAAGACTCCCTACTGTATTTTTCTCTGTGCAACTGGAATGGTGTACCTGTTGCTGGAACATATGTATTTTGGTGCTTACCCAGAAGCTGTGCTGACTGACAGATCTCTTTGATGACAAGTCAACACTTTGCAGTAGCCTGCAGGGCATTACTTTTGCATTTCATGTGCATTTGAAGTGGGGTTTTGGGCTTTTTTTTGTTGTTGTTGTTGTTGGGCTTTTTTTTTTTTTGTTGGGCTTTTTTTTTTTTTTTTGGGGCTTTTTTTTTTTTTTTACTTGGAGTTCATCATCATTCATTTTAAACTGCAGATGATATTTTTAAGGCCTTTTGACAACTTTGAAATCCTACTTGTATCAAGCTGCCATTCATCTTTTCATTATGGCTGTGAAATTATGCTGCATTGCAAAAATCTCTGGAATAAAACCACCTGAACAGTGAAACTTTCTGATTGCTATCATTGAAGCTTAGTACATTTTTAAACTTGACTTCATTTATTTTACAAATAATGAAATCTTGAACGGTGGAAGGAGGATGCCCTTTTATATTAGCTTTTATTTGTACTGTATTCTCATGAGAATTAGCTCTTAACTATACTTGAGGTGTAAAATATTCTGCTTTCTTAACAGTCCTGCTAACTACAAAACCTTCAATAAAGTTTGGTCATTTACATTAAAATTTAAGTCTGAAGACTGGATTCATACTTGTTTCACAAAGAGGCAGCATTTTAAAAAGACCGTGGGAAAAGATGGGCAAAATACTGGTGTTCTTACTGGATGTTGGAGACCAGACAGTGATTTTTCTGGTGCCACTAGGTGACACTGTGTGTCCACTTTTTTCTGGTTGACAGTCGAATGCGCAGACTGTGCTCTCATATGCAAGAGCATGTGGAAGAGGGACTAGAAAAGGATGCGCAAAATAAATAAGGACATGCAGGTATTTTACACTTCCATTTCTGGTTTCAGGTGGTTCTTGGGCATGGTAGCTGAGGACAACTAAGGGTGGTTTTGTTTTGGGTTCCCCCCTCCCCCCCCGTTCTTAGAAGCTTCCCTGTATTGCAGTTAACCTTCACTTAAGCCTGAGGTGGGTTTGGTTGGGATAGACAGGGGCTAAGACCTAGAAGAAATGCAGTACGTGTCCTGCAGCAGCATGAGAAAATGTACGTGTATGACACATATAAGGGAAGGAGGGAGATAAAGGGGAAAAGCAGCCAGCTATCTAGCTGGAAGGTATTAGCAGTTGCACATCATGAGGTGTACAACCTACTGCTAATTTTTCTTTCTTTTTAAGGAAGAAGTAAAACTTGATTTGTACAGATAGAGGTATTGCAAAACTAAGAAAGCTGATGTGCAAGCACATGCTGCTTTCTGTAACCTTTGTCTCTTCCTAAAAAAATCTGTTTGGTATCAGATTTCTTCAAACTACTAAGCAACCGGAGATCTTTCTGACTGGAAATTGTGCTAAGTGTATTTAAAAAGGGAAGAGTATTTGTTGTGGACTTGGATTTATTGAATATGCCTGTTACTTGTTTCTTAGGGAATGCAATTGAATTTTACAATGCATCCCCACTGACATGATACTAAAGCAATACTGGCTGCAGTTACCAGAGACTTTAATGTTACACATCATTAGCTCTAGTTAAATTGGAGGCATCTGTGAGTCTCTGAGATACAAGGACCCCTACTGTTCACTTGGACTGGCTGAACATCTTCAAGGAGAAATTAGCACAAGCGGTACTGTTAAATAAAGTCATTGATTTAAAAAAAAAGTGAACAGATCGTGAACTACCCTGTCCTTGAATCTATTAGTTATCATAGTATTTGAGTGCTTAATGGGCCGTTTAATTTGCTCTCAACTGGACAGATGCCAGAAGAGCCATTACGGGAAAGATCCTTTGATACAATGTACAAGGAAGTTGATGCTGACCATCTTTATGGAGTTTCAGAACCTAACTAAAAAGTTTACACAAAGGCTAGGCTTTGTTACTTGGTAACCCTCATCCCAAGACTGTCCAGCTAAGCCACAAATTTTTCTGAATGTTTTAAAAGCTATAAGGAGTCTCTTAAACTTTGCCAACCAGTGTACCTCTCACTCTCTGCTTCGTGCTTAAATGTTAAACCATATCGCTATTAATAAAACTAACCCTTGGTGTCTTACCATGAACTCTTCACGTGAGAAGTTGCACTGTCGTGCTTGCAGCTCTGGGGCCCTTCCCTTCAGAGGCGAGCGAAAGGGGCTGTGGGCCGGTCTGAGGAGTCTGGCCCGCGGTGTGAGCGGGAGGCCGTTTATCTGCCTGAGCCGGGGCCTTTCCGCGGGAAGAGACCGGGCTCCCCTCCGGAGTGCGTTTTAGGCCACATTAAAGCCTGTCTTGAGGACTTTGCTCAGTCAGAACAACTCGGCTCTGTTCGCGGAAC